TGTCACCCACACCCCCCCATGCAGTTGTTTGCTTTCGTACCTTTCTCCCTTTCTATTCTCCAAACACTGTCTCTAACCTCAGTAAAAGCAGCAGCCTGGAGTTTGTGTAGAAGGAAGGACAAGCAGTTGGGACAGACATGGGCTCCTAGTCATGGGAGCATCTATGACCACAGAAGCCACAGAGACCAAGTTTCTACCTGAGGATGTTTGTAGGGACAGGCTAACCGTGCTAAGGCATGGTCAAGCAGCCCTGTCTGGGTTAACAAGTACACTCCATTAGTTCTGGATCCTCACATGATCCTAAGTTAGGTAAGAACAGATTTTCCAAAATCCATTTTCTAGAGGAAAATCAATGGCAAAAGATTTCCAGAAATGCAAGTGAGGGCCTAAGCTAGACTCCAGGAACAGGGCATCATGTCATCAGGTCAGGCCTTGTAGGGACAGACTCCAAACCCCAGTCATCTGCTTCATGGCCATAGCTCTTCCCACCCTAGGTCCTTGCCTCATGGAAGCAAAGAGCAAATAGAAACAACAGGAGAAGCAGAGGCTTTATTAAGGTCTGGCAGATGAGGTGAAAGTGGAACTAGGCCTGAGTAGGCCTAGGGCAGAGAGCCATCCCTGCCTCCACCTAACACCCCCACCCCCCAGCTGCCTCCCACGTGCTCCTGCCTCCCAGAGCACAGCACCAAGAACACAGAACCCCAGTTCAGGGCAGAACCCAGGCAGAACGTTGTTTCCCATAGGGGGTGGGTGGGTGGGGGAGACACAGGGTGTTCTGAGAATCCCCTTGGCCCTGCTGCCGTAATCAACAAGGGAAGCCCCTTGTCTGTCCCCAGAATAGAACACTAGTTCTCTGTGGTGGGGGTGAGGAACTTGGCCTCTGAGTAAGACCTAGACCGAGGCCAAGCTGAACTGAGGGTACAGGTGAACCACAGCAAACTTCAGTTACTGCCTTTAGACTTGACCTGCCTCCACTGTCTTTCCCTCAGACCCTGGTTAGCAGCTGAGTCTGGCCAGGCCAGGAGTATCAGATGGGATAGTGGAACTCTGACCCCAGAGACTTCTACAGGTATCAGGAAGAGGGCTTCACCAATACCAAATCAGTTGATATGTACACTGGGCAACCCCACCATGACAAGGGGAAGCCACTGGTGCCTAGTAAGAATATCCACCTTTGTGGCCAAAGGGCTGAGCAGGGCCAGCAAGTTCTGGGAGGTAGGCAGGGCTCTCATCCAAGTGGGACAAAGGGACCGTGTCCTCCTCACTGACTGGCCTGTCAAACTCAGCCTTCAGAGCTGGACGTTGATTATCTGGGAAGGCCAGAGAGAATAGGGCCTCTGGCTCGCACACAAACTTATACACGTAGCGTTCGCCAGCCACCTGTGGAGAGAGGGTTAGGTAAGAACTGGATCAGGTCAGGCCAGGCATGCATGCCCTGCCTCAGTAGAGAATTTTGAGGCTCCTGCCCGTCTCATGGGCCACAAAAACACATTAAGACCTCTTTACCTCCCACACTGGTTGTTCTTGAAACCCACTCCCTTCTGGTCCTTGTTCACGTCTCATCTCAATCACAGCACACTTGGGACTATTCAGTCACTGTTTAGCAACTTTACAGGGGAACCTTGGGATTTACATTTTCTGTTCTCAAAAACTGCCCCCCCCCATTCTCACTCAACAACTGACCTTGCCCTTCTCTTGACACTCTTTGGACCTTTGAACCCTCGGTTACCCTCCCTCAGTGTCCCCTCAGCCCAACCTTCTGCATGATGCCTTTCTCATAATAGTATCGCAGTGAGCGGCTCAGCTTGTCGTAATTCATGGCTGGCCGGTTCTTCTGGATGCCCCAGAGCCTGGCAACCTGGGGACAAGAGACAAAGTATTTGGGTGTAGATGCCATCTCAGAGGAAAAATGGGGGGGGGACAGGGCAGAAAAAAAATGTAAGATTCTTGTTGCAGGGACAATCTAGGCTAGTTACCAGCACAATGCTGATGCAGGCTTGGCAAGAACTGGGTCAGGCAGACTGAGGACAATGGTGGAGGCAAGTGCCACCATTTCTCCTCTCAAGGCTCCAAAGGTGCCGGACAGGAGGAGTGGGAACACGTAAGACCCACCTCTTCAGGTTCAATTAGTTTAAACTCCATCCCCCGGCCTGTCCAAGCAATGAAATGAGCGTTTGTTGGGTCATCCAGCAGGGCCACCAGAAACTGCCACAGTTGTAAGGCACCCCGGCGCTGGTAGGGTGGCCCCTCCCGGAAAGCTCCAACCCCTTCCTGCTTGATGTCTCCTGGGAAAGTGGAAATAGGTGTGAGGAGGTATACATGCCGTAACCAACTTCCTCCCCTCCCTCTTGAGGCTTCCCCAAACTATTTCCTGAGTGTCCTGACCTCTCCCACCAATTAAATGTGATTCCTACAGGACCCAGTGTGTGATGGGGGTGAAGAAGACCCTGACTCTCATAAGAAATCACTTCTCTGACCTTCAAATTTTTCAGGGACAATGCAGACATCATCTGGGAATGGTCGAAGAGATTTTTCATAGCCATAACCTTGTGGAGGAAAGGAGGGGATTGCTCAGATCTGAGGGTTCACTACTGTTAGAAACCCCATAGAATGCAAAGAGACTTGGCTGGGGTGACTCTCCCCCATAGCAGGGATCCAGCTGCCGTACCCATCACTCCATCACCTGGAGAGGGTCCAGAGAAGCCCTCTGGGTGGAGGTACATTGATGCACATCCAGGGACATCTATGGGAGAAAAGGAGACATTGTAAGTGGCTGAGGTGAACCAGGGGAGGAAACCCTGCACACATTCAAGGAGTTGGTGCTGCTAGCCTGCAGTCCAGCGACCATCCTTTTCCCACCACCAGATCCCAGGGTAAGTTCACTCAAGAGGGAGCTGGAAGCTTGAGGCCCTCAGTTTGAGGGATGGGGCAGAGGGCATGGGCGGCAGCAGCTGAGGCCAGGCAGCCTGTTCTCAAGGACCAGGATTCCAGGGAGCAGCTGTTTCCTGTGAGTTCAGGGGAAGGAGGGGGTGAGAGATGAACCTCCGGGGGTTGGGAAGGGTTTGCCTAAGACTTCCTCGGAATGGGCACATGTCCGGTCAGCAGGTCAGGTTCCAAACCTAGTACCTCTGTGCCTCTGTGTGTGTGTGAGAGGAGAGGGGGTGGAGGTGGGGGATGCATATATCTAAAGAAGCAGTGGGCACTGGGCTGTTTTTTCTCAGGTGTAAGCACATTCTGTGTTCCACGCCATAGAACTGAAACCTTCCAGCTCCACCTAGGGAAGCCACGCTTCAAGTTCCAACCCTTTCCCGCCCCCTCCACTCCCACCTATGAATGAGCTGCTGACATCCGACACCTGGGGGCGGGGGGGGGGGGGGGGAGAAAGGAGGGAGGGTTCATTCATTCCTCCATTTTGTGAATGGAATTCTTGACTCCATTCAGGAAAGCGGAGGGAGGTGGGGCAAGAGTTCAAGGGCAAGTAACATGATCCCCTCCGGTTTCTAGCCTTTGAAGGTCAGCAGCCCGGTGCGGCTCCCTCCTCCAGCCGCCACCAGGCTTGGCTCACAGTTACAACCAGGGTTGGAGAAAGGGATGCACTTATCCTGTTCTCCCGCTCTCCCTGGAGTGACTAGGGGTTTGTAGATAAGCCTCCGATCCTAAAATACTGTAGGCACCAGGAAAAGAAAAATTCTAAAATTCCAGCCAAGCTCCGCAGCTACTGCCTATCTATCTACCCACGTCTATCTATCTATCTATCTATCTATCTATCTATCTATCTATCTATCTATCTATCTATCTTGAGACAAGGACTCATTCTGTAGTTCAGGCTGGCCTGAAACTCATTATATGTTGCCGAGTTTAAACTCAGAGCCATCCATCTGCCCTAGCCTCCTGAAGGCTATTCAGGATGAACAACCACAGCTTTTTGTTTTTTTTAATAGATACTAGTCCAGGCTATCCTTGATGCTGATGACCATCCTGCCTCCACTGCCCACATTATATGGGTACCGCTCCCTCCTATTTTAAAATCACTGTGGAGACAAGGACTAGGAAATGTCTCGTTTTTGTATCCTCTAACTTTGTATTCCTGTTCCAGGCACAGTACTCTGGTCTTAAGGGTTAAGTAAAACACTCAAACTTCTGATAGAAATAAATGCCCAACCCTTATTATTGTCAGGAGCTATGAGTGCAAAGGTCTATATACCCTATCATCTTATCTGAATGCTGGCTGGAAAACAATCATTCTTTAGAATAGTTAAAAAAAAATCGAATGAGTTGGTTTATAAACTCTGGACCGATCTATCTATCTATCTATCTATCTATCTATCTATCTATCTACCTACCTACCTATCTATCTATCTTGAGACAAGGTCTCATTCTATATAGTTCAGGCTAGCCTGAAACTCATTATGCTGCCTAATTTAAATGTATGGACCATGGAAAGACACAACCTTCTAGGAACCTTTGCTTAACCCCACTGCCCTCTGGAGTACTTGCCACCCCACCTGACAATCCCCCCAAAACGCCAAGTCCCCCCCCCCACGAGTATCTTACCTGAGTCATAGGCGAAGTCTGTGCGCTCCTGTTTGATCACCACCCCCGCCCCTGGGTACCTGTGCCCACTGACCCCACCCTGGCTTGGAGCCGGCTGTCCAGCCTGTTCATACAGGGGGTCATGGTACTCCTGCTTGAAGCTCTGCTGGGGGTAGGGTGGGCAGGGCTCCGACAGTTGGTGTTGATAGGGGGCTGGGAGAGGTTCCCGGGCCCCTCCCTGAGGAGATGTGAAGGAGTGGCACATGTCCACAGGCTGCTGGAAGATGGAGCTGGATGTGATGGATGAGGAAGGAAGAAAAGAGAATCTTCCATTAGCCCCCTTGAGCCTGTCACTTGCTGACAGGGCTCTGGAGGGATAATGAGACACCATCTCCCTGGCTCTCCCAGCCAGGTCTCTATAGAGAACTAAGGAACTGAGCCCAGACTGCCTGGCGAGGCCTGGGTCCCCCGGTGCTTCAGATCTGTCTCCTTACCTGTGCTCACCAAGGTACCCGTGGCCAGGGTGGGACTGGGAAGAGCTGGAGGCTCTCAGGAGGCTCTGCTGCTGTTCTGCCCTGGAAAAGGGCTGCAGGGGCGACTGTCCAGGGGCACCGGGGGCGGGGGACTTGATGGCGATTTGTCTGGGGGAGTCATAGGCACTGGAGTTGAGGGGGAGATGGGGATGAGGGGGCAGAGAAGCTAGGCAATTATCTTTGTATCTTTCATACCCCAGGAAGTGATTATCACAATTGCAGTAGAGGGGCTGAGGAATTGTTTTTTGGGTTTTTTTGACACAGGGTTTCTCTGCATAGCCCTGGCTGTCCAGGAACTCACTCTGGAGACCAGGCTGGTCTTGAACTCAGAGATCCACCTGCCTCTGCTCCTCAAGGGCTAGGAATTTTTTCTTTTTAAATAGGGTTTCGAGTAGCCTAGGGTGGCTTCAGACTCTCCATGTGAAGCCAACAATAATCTCAAACTCCTGTTTCCACCTCACAGCTGCTGAGATTACATGCAAGTAATCACCCTAACAGGTTTGTGTGGTGCTGATGACCATATCGGGGGCTTTGTGTCTGTCAGGCAAGCACTCTATCAATTTAGCTATATTTCCAGCCCCCAGGTGAATTCTCTTATTCTCTCCCCAGAAGAGTCTTGCTTTGTAGCTCAGCTTCACCTGGAACTCTCTCGGGAGCTAAGGCTGACCTCAAACTTACAATCCCCTTGTCTCAAGCACACATCACCCACCATACATGTCTAAGTGAATACCCTCTCTTAATCCTGGAACTAGACCTCTCCACTTGCCAATCTCTCTCTCTGAAGCCCGGAGCAACTGGTTTAAGTAGGGCACAGGACTTCAAGTAGACTCACTGGGCACTTGAGGCCATTCTGCCCACTGTGTGTCTCCTGCTAAATGCTCAGCGCTTGGTAACGCTACCTACAGGTAATGCTAGCGCTTGGTAGCTAGGAAACCCCGTTATCCAACCCTCATCTCTATGGGTGCCTCAGCTCATGGTTGCCCTCTCCTACCCCAAGCCTCAAGAGAAGCCTTCACCTCTTGACACCCTCCTGGAGTGGGGCTCACCTGGAGTAAAGGCACTGCTCTCCATGGTGGTAGGGGAGTGGTGGCTTCCTGCTGCAGGACAGGGCGGGGTCTGTGCGGGGACTCTGGGGTTCCTTCTTGATCCTGGTGGTGGGGCTATGGAAAGCTACTGTGGGGTAGGACAGAGAGCAAAGCAGGAGTGTCACATAGAAGCTAACAGGGCTTCTGACACCTCTGCTTTCTGAGGATGGGGTTACTGGTACAGTCAGTCTCCTCCTGGCTCCCATTCTTGAACACTGAAGTTGGATGCTTTTGGAACATTTTGGTTACATTATGTCTAGTTTTATACCTAAGGTATTAACCAAGGGAACCATCTAAAAGTTCAAATACACATGCCCTTAGCTGAGGAATCACCTTCCTAAGAGTGAACGTCTCAGACCCAGGGCCTTTGACTTTCCTGAGTGTTCTGGAAAATTCCAAGTGAGGGACACGTTTTCTTATTTGGGCCTACAACGATTCCTTGGTCTTCTGAGGGAGTTTGGCTGTTAGCACACTTGCGTGTCAGCGGAGTAACATGCACATGCTCCTAGTTATCTGTGAGGAGCATTGGCCTTTCGTGGGCCTTTAGTTCTCGGAGTTCAGCTACCACTGTGGCTAAGCCCTGGTATGAGTGGCATCCTGGCTTCCTTCAGTTTGGTCGGATGCCCTGGAATCCACGGTCCTGGTGACCACTGTTTTCCATTCTGTGTTCCTTTCATTTCATGGGTGATGGCATCTGAGAGCCATCAGTTTGGCAGTACCTAACAGCCAAACACCCCTTCTCAGACTTTTCTCTTGGTTTTTCCAGAGCTATCCTGGAACTCACTCTGTAACCAGGCTGGCTTCCAACTCAGAGATCTGCCTGCCTCTGCCTCCTGAGTGCTGGGATCAAACATGCCAAACCTGACTTTTTTTTTTTTTTTTTTTTTTTTTGAGGCCAGGCTTTACCATGATCCAGACTGGTCACCCTCCAGATTACAGGTGTGGCCCACCTTACCTAACCAAGTATCATTTTGCAACTGTGACACTTGCCACTTGTGACACTGGGGTCAGATTTGGGGGGATGTCCTGAGCATCGTAGGATATTTTTGCAGTACCACTGACCACTCTGTTTGCAACCAGCCCTAAACTCTCTAGAGCCATTGACAAATTTTTCCTGGGACAGCATCACAGCACTGAAGAAAATAACAGAACACTGCTGAGCCGTCTCAAGTTTCTTGCTTTGGCTGCAGAGAAAGCATCTGATCCAGGTCACATGGCTAAGACCCCAGAGGGGAACAAAAGTCTTAATCCGAAAGTCACTGTGTTGGTCTCAGAGTCTGTAATCCAGGATGGGGAGCCCTGACCTTCACTCTGTCTTTAGGTGAGAGCAAACTGCTCTCCTATGGGTGACTGTCCCCATGACTCACTTCCTGTCATTTTCTCACCCCCATCCCCCACCCTTGTACCCTGCACTCACTACTCACAGTTTTCTGAATGGAAATCAGGAACAAACTGCTCATCGCTGTCCGGTACCTGAGCTGCAGAGAGAGGCCAGAGGTGAGTCTGGGATGTGACCCTGCAAAGTGGGAACTCCAGGAAGACAGCACTGTTGCCACCCTGCAGATTAGCTCCAGCCCTGCAGAGGTTCAGAGCCTGCCTTAGACCAAGGGTGACTGCACCCCAGGGCCTGCACCCTCCAGCTGCAGTCCATGAAGACCTCCAGGGAGGACTCTCAGAACTTGTCTGAGAGGATAGTCTTTGCCTAGATGTTTTGTCTCTGGTCCCTGAAGTGCAAATGAACCCGCCCTTCAAAGTTTACAAGGCTTTGTCAGGGGTAGGCAAGCCTTACAAACTGTGGGATCCTGTGGATCTGGAATCAGATGAGGATATTTTGAAATTGGGAAGGGACTCAAGAGTCTGCACTTCAAGTATCTTCCCAGGTGTTTTGGAGACACACAAGGATTCTAGAGCTTTCGAAAGGGAATGGAGGAGAGAGGACGGTGGCAGAAATGTGAAGAGGGTAAAAATAGGACAGGAGGAAGGTACAGACACTGCTCATCCATGCTGCGTAGCTAAGGAAAAGAAGATAGGACAGGAGGAAGGTACAGACACTGCTCATCCATGCTGCGTAGCTAAGGAAAAGAAGGGCTGCCCGAGGCTGGAGGTCTGAGGACCAGGAGTGGGCATCTCTGAGCCAAAGGACACTCAGAGGACTCCATAGTTTTTGTTTACCTTTGCCTCTCTATCGAGGGGGAGGATTACAGCAGAAAGAACAGACACAAAGAAGGACTTCCTGATTGTCTAAGATAATAGTGGGTCTGAAGCAGGACAATGGAGCTTGTGACCTAGGAGACTGGATTGCCACTCCCTGGAGACTGGGCAATGTGGAAATGTCGAGATAAAAAGATTCAGACTTGAGAGGGGCTGGTGAGGCGTGTGAGTTGAGGGATAGGGAACACTCTACACACTAATCTCATGTGAGCATGCAGGCTCAGACCTTGCCCACAGGACCCTGTGTTTGCCTTGTTCACTTCCCCTTCCCCCAGGCCCTGCAGTCTGCACAGCCATTATGGTGATCTTTGTACAACAGAAACCAAATCACTTTGCCTGCTCACTTAAAATGTGAAATTTAAACGCTTGCCCTTGGCCTCCTCAGCTCACCTCCCTTGCCTGCCTCTTCTTGCTGTCACTCCTTAGGCACCTTGAGGCCTCCTTTAGCCCTCAGTTCTGCTAAGCTGGGTCTTTTCTACCCTCCATCCCCCCCCAGAGCCTCACCTGCTATGTTCTGGATCTCACTATGTAGCCCAGGCTTACCTAAAAGGCATCACCTTTCTTGACTGCCTGGAATGCTGGTTACAGATGGGCACCCTGCCAGGCTTATTAGAGGCCTTCTCAACCACCCAAAACAAAACTGTCCCTTCTGCTTTCTGTCTCAGCAGGCATCCCCCCACCCCCCACCCCCCACCCCTGTGCATATCTTATTAATATATAGTTGCATGTTAATTAACATTCATCTCTTCACTGAGAAGTTAGGTCGTGAGGACACAGGCTTTGTCTTCTTTGGATGAGTCTCTAGCACCCAGAACAGGGTCCTACTCAGACCAGATACTGAATGATTGTTATTTATGAATAAGCATTCAGTGAAACCTGTTCTCAGGTTGGCAGAAGCTAGCTCCAGACAGGGGAGCCGAAAGCAGTGAGATCCTCACCCAGACAGCCTTTTCCTTACCCTGCAGCTACTCTCCACACACCAGCTACCAGAGGAGGCACACCACCGGAAAAGCTCATCTTTCAAGGAAGGATACTTGGGCTGTGGTCAAATGCTTGCTTCAAATGTCAGAGGCCCTGAGTGTTTATAGGTTTATAGTTGATTTTTATGTATTTATTTATGGTGGAGGGGGTTGAATCAAAGTCCTTTTGAACCCCCAGCCTTTCATTTTTTGAGACAAGGTCTAACTAGGTACCCCAGACTGGCCTTAGATTCACCATTCTCCTGTCTCAGCTTCCTTGTGATCACAGGCCCATTTGACACCGTGTCCAGCTTGGAGGACTGTTTTCTAGACAGAGATCGAGGTGAAGGAGTGTAAGAACCAGAAGTCTCCAGTAGTTAAGAACCTACTTAGATCAATGCACTATAATTCTAAAATGGCTAAAGACATCAGTGGAGCACTAAATCCCTCAGGGAAAATATGCGTAAATCCCAAGCTTTTTGGAAGCCGACTATAATCACACAGCAGCAGGACGTCCTGACTCTGTTAGCCACACTGGTTGGTTCTAAGTCCTCAAATCGGGCAAGTGGTTCTATAGGCCAGAGGTGGGCCAGGCATCCACATTTGCAATAAATGTCCCTGGTGAGTGGCTCATTTGAAAAGCACCAGTCAAAGGGAAGAACACATCCCTTCTTTCCATTCAAAGGTGACAGACAACCTGAAGATGACAGGAGCAAGCAGGCTGAGTGATATTTCCTCTCTACTACTTAAGGCAAAGAGGGTCCCGAGGGCAAGGAAGGGGTGCAGAACTTGGCAGGGGGTAGCTGACGCACTCTGGAAACCCTCTTGGGGCCTCATTAACTACTGGTTTCCAGTGAGGTAATGGGCTGGGGGCATCTCCTGCTGACGCCACTGGGCTAGTGAGCCCTGTGGGTCATCTGACCTTTCCTCCTGCTTCAAGCCTGAAAGTTTATCCGGAACCCACCAGAAGAGACCTCCCCTTAGCAAGCAGATTATACTTCCAAAGAGATGATGCTATCCTCTTCTAAGAATGGTGGGTAAGCCCTATTCTGTGGTCAGCTCTCCCAATACTGGTCTCCCAAAGGGATACAACAGGGCCCTCAGTCACCCAGAGACTATCAGCACGGATAGAAATAGGAACAGAAACAGAGCTTTGAGTTCCTGGAGAGCAGGAGAAATTTTAATTACTATGTTTGGTCTTGCACGTACACCATTCATTCTATTTGTTGACTCGGCTGTGTTTTGGCTGCTGAGCCAGTGTGCCAGAGTCTGCCCCCAGCTCTACTGGCACTAAAAAGGGACTGTCTGGGCAGAGACATGGCAGAAGATTAAGGCAGGTGTGTGTATGTGTATGTGTGTGTGTGTGTACCCAGTGTAATTCATGTGCAAGCATACACACACACACACATACACAAAGAGACACACAGAGAGAATATATTTAGGGACTATCTCTACAACAGGAGCCAGGGGGACCCCAATGATGGGTTCCAGAAGAAATGGGAAGTCTACAAGCTAAGCACGGAACCAAAGCCTACCATGAGCTAGCTGCCATGCATCCCACAGAAGGGCTATCTGTCATCCTCTGGGGTTGGGCACAGTCCCACAGAAGAGTGAATGGGAGCTTCTGCTTTATTGTGTCACCAATGGCTGGGGAGCTCACACCCTCACCCTGCCCCCACTCTGGCAGCCTCTCTCTATCTGTGGAGGGGACATTCCTCTCCAGGAACCTTCTGGAAGGGGAGGAAATAGAAAGATGGAGGAGGCACGCAACCAGGAAAGTCCAGGGAGAGGTTTGAGGATTAACCCTCCCCTTGCCAACCAGGCAGGAGACCCCAGTGCGCACACACACACTTGTCCTTCACTCTGAGACCATATACGGGTGAAAGCTCCCTCTGTGCTTCCCCTCTGTGCACGGGGTCTCTCTCTGGACCTATAAACAGCTAAAGGGCCAGGGGAGAGTCACCCTGGGAGGACCACTTAGCTGCAGTAATTCTTGTGGAAGGGAAAACCCAGATCCATCCCTTAAAATTCTGATAAAAACTATATATAAGCCACTCTCCTCGTAGAAAAAAAATCCATGTTATCTTCATATATGGCACAACCTCAACAATTTTACATGCAGAACAGCAATAGCAAGAACCCCAAATCTATCCATACGCCTTCTGGGAATTACAGGTCCTCCCTCCCCAACTTCATAAAAAGGATGAACATAGCTCAGTTTTCCTAACTGCCAAAGAGACCAGAATCGTTGTCCCTAACGGTTCTTGAAATCCCACAAAGCAACCCTCAATCAGATCCACAATTTTTTTTTTTTTTACATAACCAGCCGTATCTTGCCTCAGTCTGCCTGAGCCTGGGTTTCTCTATAGCATCTGATCTCTTTTCCAGCATCTCAACAGATCAAAGGCACCCAGAAACCAGACGACCCTCCTCAAGCTCACAGTATCCCTCTTCTACCCAGAAAAATCCAGACCCCAAAGATGTGTACGCTGCTTCCAAAGAGCCTCACCAACACTCACCCCAAAATCTCAATCAGCAGCCGATATGCTAAAGCCAAATCCACTTCTCTCAGTCTCAGCTTCGGTCCAGCCTTGTCACTCTGCCCCCCCCCATCTTCACTGCCCCACCCACACTGTAATAATTCTCTGTTTCTCCCCAAATTGAAGCTTTAGGAAGAAACCAAGCTGAGAGAGGGGAGGCTGGGCTCTGGGTCCCATTCCTCCTGATGTTCCCCACCACTGGCAAGTTGCCAATGGAGCTCATCCCTCCCTGTCACCCCTTTAGACTATGGGGGGCACTGACCTGGTGGGAAGAGGCAGGAGAGGAGATTGGGGTGATGCTGGGATGGTGCAGGGGGACAGGACCCCGGCAGCTGCATCTGTCTCCGCAGAGAGAGGAGTGAGTGGCCTCAGCATCCCACCCCCCCTCAGGCCTGACCATCCATCGCCAGCTGGGAACCTGAGCTGCTCCCTCAGGAGGAAGGAGAGGGAACCAAGGAGATCCCAGCGCCCCCCCCAGCATTCCCCACCCCCATCTCCCCACCCACTGGATTTAAATGTACAGGGACTCCCAATGCAGCAGTATGTAACACGCATACACGCGTGTGCGCATGCCCGTGCACACATGCACTTGCTGTCACACTGACACAGATAGACATATGGACTATCACCAGACCCACCACCAAGGGGAGGGGCTTCCATGGTTCAGTGAGGAGAACATTTTTCTTCCCGTATCATTCAAATAGATCAAATATTGCCAAAATGCCACCCTGAGCCCACTCCTACCTAATCACAATTGGGGAGCTGGCCACTGTGGGGGCCCTCAGCTGGTGGCCAGGGAAGGGAACCCAGAGAGCCAGACCAAAATCAGTAACTAGGTGGTAAGAAAGGGGGTTTTTGAGAGCCCATGGAGACCCTGAGTTCTTCAGCTCCAGAACCTGAAGGGGGGGGGGGTAAAACCACCCAACAAAGCTCTATGTAGAACTCAGGGCATAGAACAGAGGAAGATACACACTATACCCAGACCCCCTTACCCTCATTCCACATTTTCGAGGTTAAGCTCCATGCAAAATAGTCATTCTCTGCCACCACAACCACTACCACCACCACTACCACCACCACAATAATAATAATAATGACAACAGCAATAATTGTGTGTGTGTTTTTGAGACAGTGGCCAAGATAGACCTCATCCCATTCCACAGACCTACTTCGTGGTCCTTTCCTTCTTTCTCATCCAGGCTTCTACAGAGAATCCTGTGAGAGGTAGATTTCAGCTTTGAAATTCCAAAGAAAGGTACCCACAATGGAGGAATGGGGAACTCTTTAGGAAGAGAGAAAGACCTCAAGAAAGTGCTCACTTTTGGTTTCTGGGTTGTTTTTTTTTTAAAGAGTATTAACACATAGGGAGTGTTGGTGAAGATGAGGTTGCTAATGCAGGGACTGTAAGTCACCATGCCTCCTTCCACTGGCAGCCCTGCCAGCATCACCCTAGGGCTAACTAACCTCACCAAAACACCACAGCTTGAGTCCAAGTAGGACATCTACCCCACCCAGCCCAGGCTGGACACTGAGCCCATCCTGGCCGGGGCTCACAACCAACCCTCCAGCATACAGGAAGGGGAGCATTGCCTGGGGGTGGAGGTATTCAGGAGAGATGGAGGGAGGACCAGTTGCCACTGGAATTATAATCAAGGCTATTTGGGGAGGCAGCCCTGAGTCTTCTTTGCCAAAGTGCCAAGAAAAGAAGTATTGAAACTTTTGTTGTTATTTTGGCTTGGTCAGTAAATGGGCCCTCCGAGTTAGGAAGAAGTGAAATGAAGAGAGTAAAAAACCAACCAATGTTCCAGCAACTCCAGAAGATAGGTAATAAATTACTCTGTATCCCTCCTGTTTCTCATTGCTCTCTTTCAATACTGCAACACCCCAACACTACACCTAGGCCCGGAGCCTCCTGCCAAACAAACTTTGCAAATGAAATTTTCAACCAGGAAAAAAAAAAAGGGCCTGGGGCCAAGTTCCATTCAAATAAGCAAATACCCCACACAATAGTCTGATTCATCCCCAGGCCTAGTTATACAAGCCTGGCTCAGGGCAAGAAAATAAATATCGATATAAGTGTCCACACTGGGCACCGGGGAGTGTGAAATGGTTGGGGACTGGAGGGAGGGGGTTGAAAGACTCCTTGAGACAGAGAAGACCCCTACGACCCACTTCTAATTTTAGGAAGGAAACAAAACTACTCACCTTCAGCGAGCCACGTCTCTTGGAAGTGACTGAGATCCTGGAAGAGATCTGATGGGTGAATACTGGATTGGTGAAGAGGTGGAGATAATATGGGGAAGAGATCTGGCGAACCCGAGTTACAGCCTCCCCAGTGGTGATAAGGGACGGAGAAGAATGAGTGGTTTGACTTTGGGGGAAACGTGGGTTCGGGAGGTCAGAATAGGGCTTTGGGATGGATGTGTGTGGATTAAGGAGAGGGGTCGCAGTTTGTCTGGTTCTTTACCTTCTGAGTCGGAAGGCGGCAGGGAGCCCGGGTCCATGAGCTTCCCCTGCGGGACCATCAGCGCTTCGCCCAAGCTCCCATTTCCGGGAGATTTCTGCTGGAAGGAGGGGGGAGAATGCCCCCGAATCACCCTGAGAAGTCTAGCTTGGGGTTGAGGATGGGGTCCCGGGGTGGCTCAGGGGCCAGGCGGCCCTGGACCCACTGAGACCCCCCGGGAGGGGGCTGCGGGGTGAGTAGGGGCGGGGTGCGGGGCGGGGGCGGGCGTGGAGGCCGGCGCGGCGCTCACGCTGCAGAAGGTGTAGGGCACTCGCTGGTCCAAGTATCCGCCTTTCATCCTCCGCTCCATCCGGCCGCTCCCTCCGGCCACAGGGCCGGGCCCCCGCGCGGAGGCAGAGACCTGGGAGGGGGGAGGCAGTTCGCACACGGTCCCGGGAGTGCTGCGGGGGGGAGGGGGCGATCGCGAGGCTTTGGATCGGACAGCGAAACTTCTCCGACTCGCTGGGACCTGCGCGGCCGAGCGCCTCCACCGCCACTCCCCTCCCGCCAAAGGAGGTCCCACCTGCTCCCTGGAGCTGGGGTCGGCGTGTCTGCTTTCGGCAGCCCTGCTCAGCCCGGACTGGGTTACATAAGACGTGTGTGTGCGTGCGTGTGTGTGCGCGTGTGAGTGTGTGTGTATGTGGGCGCGCGCGCGGCGCACACCATTCGCACGCCCATAACTCGGGCGCCCCCTCCAGCCTCGAATCCCGACGCCTCCCACCCCCGCCCCGGAATGTGCGGAAGCGGGCGCCGAACAGAGTGTGGTGTGTGGGAGACGAAGCGGGGAAATCACAGACACTCTCCCTTCCTTCCACTTCCGCAGCTTCACCTGAGGTCGGGGTGTCTGTGCAGGAGCCGCGGGGGGATGCTCAGCATGCCCGGGGGATGACACAACTAAGGTGGAGGGGCTAGGCCGGAGCGAGGCGGCCTGAGCCCCGGGTCCCCAGAGTCCTGGCTTGTTTTCCGGGCGCAGCAGACAGTTGTGAGCCCGGGGGAGCAGCTGATTGGTGCATTTCCTTTGCCTCGGCCTCTGCTCTCGCTCTTCCCCCTCCCCTCCCCACCGGTTCCCTTTGTTTCATTGACTTTTGTGAATGAAACCCCAGGGCCGGGCACGCCCGCCAATCCTCAGACTCGGCTAGCTGAGCTTGAGGGCGGAGTTTCCCAGCCACGGAGGCCAATCAGAATGTAGGGGCTGGCTCCCGGCTTCATTCACTTTTTGGACTTCCATTCATAAAAAATAAACTCCTTTCGGCCTTAGTTCATTCATAAAGAATTGAGAGGAAAAGAGGGAAGCTGAACACCCGGCAGCTTCTCCACAGGTTTCAGCACCGGCTTTGGGTCTGAGGACCGCTGAGCTCCTCCCGCTGGCGTTAACACACGCCTCTGTGCATCTATACGTACGTGGGAGTGTGAATTCGTCTGTGTGCCCTGGGGGGAGGGGGAGGCAAACGGACTTGTGCGCCCAGAGGAATCATAATAACTAGCATTTATGAAGCGCTCTGCCTCCACGTGCAAATTTCTTTCCCACAACGTGGTGCTGCGGAGCTGTTTCCATTTTAGTTCACAGATAAAAATGGAAGAAAACTAAGAAAGATACCATTGCCCCTCACCTGAGGTAACTCAGCTTGTCAATACTGCAGGGCATTAGCATTTCAGAGCCACCACGGTCTTCTGTCCAGCCCTCTGAGACTGCGAGCTTAAGTGAATTAAGCTATATGAAAACAAATGGATGCACAGTTGGTACTCAGTAAATGTAAACTGTCTCGAACGGCTTTCTCAATGTGATCTGTAGAGCTGCTTTATCTGTGACCTGCTTTATCGTTCATTCGCGGCTTTGCAGACAAGAGGCTCAAGGATGTCTCTTACGCCTTACCTGAAGGCAAGCATCCGATGATAGGAAGCAGAAACCTCAAGTGACTTGGTGATCAAAAGACTGGATGGATTTCAGTTTTGTCCAAGAAGTTGATCTTAGTGTTTGTCATTCGGTCATTACTTCCTTCAGTAAATATCTGCTGTGTCAGACACGGTGCTGGGTGGCAAGCAAGTGTGAGAAAACTGCCTCCCTTGGGATCTCTTTCAGCCTGTAGGAGTCAGAGCTGGGGCAAGAACATTAACTCCCTGGCACCTGAATTGGACTCACTCTGCCACACCAACTCCTCTCCTTTAGATCCCAAACTGTTCTTTAAAGCTTGAACCTGCTGCCGCTCTCCTCTAGGGAGCCCCCTTTCATGAGAACCTGGGTCAGTCCATATATATGGTGAGGTATCTTTCAGTCTCTTTCCTGTTAGAGAAATACCTATGTAGTTATGGGAGCTCTGCAGGGCCCAGAAGAGGACTCCTTCCTTGAGCCTCACTCGTACTCAAAAGAGTTGCACAAAATACCTGTCAGGTGAACAACTACAATAAAAAGCAAAGTAATGGCTTTTTTGCAGGCACTCTGCCCAAGGAAGGAGAGGCAAGCCCAAGCAAATCCCAGCTTGGGGCGGATGGAGCCAGTTTAGGGAGGGGTGTGAGTACCTAGGCCAGGAGAAGTTGGGGGAGGAAGGCAGGCAGTTCTAGGAACAGATCTCTGATGTGGTCTCCATGAAGGTTCAGGTGGGTCCCTGAGTGGGCACTGGGTGCTCCAGTCGAGGCCTGTCCAGGGCTGCCTGTCTGATTCTGAGTTCCTCCACTTCTCTGGAGAGCCCTGGCCAGTCAATATTTCCTCTCCTTTCCTCTGCTTCCCAGGTCTGGCAGAGACCAAAGAAGCCTACCTCCCTATCTCTGGCTCAGCCTACAGACCCAGTGAGAGGATCAACTGCAGCTGCAGTTACAGCTGCCACACTGGCTCTAGCCTCTGACTGAACACTCAGATCACGATCAGTGAGATTTCTAAAGGGAGCGGGGCCTCTTCCCCAATGGGGCCCAAAAAGCAGAGGAAGGAAGAGAGACGCTGGAGGTGTGGGTTAAGTGATATTGAAGGATCCAGCCGTGTGCACATGCTTTTCATCAGTTCCTGCCACCTGCCGCCCTCACCTCATTTTACAAGAGATGATAATAGAGGCCTTCCAGATGCACACTAACCCCAAGCTCCACTCCCTCCCCACAGATTGAGGTACTCCAAAGAGAGTTCCTTTACGGAGCACATGAGGTCTCATGGAGGACACTCCCAAACCTGACCAGACCTGTCCCTGCACCCCTCAGATGCAGGATGCTCACAGCTCCTCTATGACTTCCTATGCCTCCTGACTCCTCCGTTATAGCTTCAGGAGAAGTTGGGCAGGTGAATATCCTCTTCCTCCAGTAGATTGGGCGGCTGGACTCTAACCTGTTTCCTAGGAGTTTAAATTATAAAATGCAAATGTAGACTTTAGATATGTAAATTTTTATACAAAGGGAGACCATAGTTTGCCCTGGGAGTTGGGAGGCCCCAGTACAGGCTTGAAAGAAAGAAAGCTTGAATGTAACAGCATGCTGGCTCTGGAGAATGTAACAGCATGCTGGCTCTGGAGCCATCAAGGAGGCAGACTCTACCCCACATGGCTTTTGTAACATTTTTTTCTTATTTTGCATTATTCATTTATTTTTATTTATGTGTTTGTGGAGGTGTGTGCGAGTACCTACAGAGGCCAGAGGCATTGGATTTCCTGAAGCTGCAGGTGACAGGCAGCTGTGAGCCATCTGGTGTGGGTGCTGGGAACAGAACTCGTGTCCTCTGGAAGAGCAGCAAGTGCTCTAAACTGATGAGCCATCTCTCAGCCCATGTTTTGTTGTGCCTTCCTTCCTTCCTTCCTTCCTTCCTTCCTTCCTTCCTTCCATCCTTCTGAGGCAGGGTCTCATAGAACTCAGTCTGACCCAGAATTCCTATGTAGCTGAGATGACCTTGAAATGTGGATCCTTGGCCGGGCGGTGGTGGCGCACGCCTTTAATCCCAGCACTTGGGAGGCAGAGGCAGGTGGGTTTCTGAATTCGAGACCACCCTGGTCTACAGAGTGAGTTCCAGGACAGCCAGGACTACACATAGAAACCCTGTCTCAACCCCCCCCCCCCAAAAAAAAACAAAACAAAACAAAAAACAAAAAAAAGAAAGAAACAGGGTCAGATTCTAGGTCTCCCAGGCTGAACTTGTCTTCCTGGGGTGCTGGAATTACAGGCAAGCAACACTATAACTGGCCCACGTGGGTTTAGGGGAATGAGATAGGGGTCTGGTTTTGGTCCTCAGTGTTGTGTTAGCTGGGGACATTCTGTGGGTCACCTGTCCAGCCTGACTGCAGGCACAGAGATGTTTTTAGGCCTGGCTTGGCAGAACTTGAAAAGCAGAGTTTCAGGAACTTAAAGGGAGAACTCAGAGGGTGGTGATGAGACAGCTCCCTGAGGCCCAGGGGTGGGACAAACAGGATCCCTTTGGTGTCTCCCAGGCTGGAGCTTTCTCATCAGGGAGAATGGACCAGAGAGCAAGGTCTGGGGTGGGGCAGGGGGCTGTTAGATCCGTTCCATGAGCTGGTCATGGGTCAGTCCCACTAAACTAAACAAAACAAACAAACAAAAACCCCTGAGTCCCTCTTGGACTTCCTCTCTTCCTTTTCTCACTGGCCCAGTTTCTCTTTGGTTCCTTCAGACTGCAGGGGTTCTATACCTTCCTGTATGCCATGAATGGAGTGTGCACCTCAGGAAACTAATGACCCGCATCAGTGTGTGTGTGCTCCAGCGTTTACCTCCCTGAAGAGAGAGTCTATGGCTTTTATCCGGGTCACCACAGAGCAGGTCTATAATTGCCCATTCCTACTCTTGAGGTTAGAAACGTGGCCCTTGGGTCTTTTATCTCCGTGTCTTCAATTTGCTAAGAACAGAGAAAGGACGAGTCGCTATGGCAGACTAGCAGGGGTGGGGGCGGGGTGAAAAAGCTTCTTCCCTTGTTCCAGCTTACCTTTCACTGTTGTGAGTGTGTGTGTCTTCCATGAGTGTTGTCCATGTCATGCCATCTCTAACCCCATTCCCCATCTCCTATTGCTCTGGCAGGTCTCAAACTTACTATGTAGCATCTGGATCTTTCTGACTCCATCTGAGTACTGAGGTCACAGGTATATACTCTGTCCAGATGAACCCTCTATTGAGATTCCACTAAACAAGGGCTCTTTAGACAGTCAGCAGAAGATAAAATGGGCCCAAAGGAGGGGGATGAGTAAAGTCTAATCCAATCTTTGGGACTCCCTGGTGGAGGCTGGCAGTCCCTGAACAAAAGTCCTGCAGATGAGGGCTCTGTCCATCCGGTGCTGATGCAGGGCTTGGGTATCCTCAAGAGTCTCCATGAAATCAGGAGGAGCTCAGATGACTCCTGAGGAGTCATTCTCCCTCTAGTGTGATGGGATTCCCTGGAGACAACCCATCTCATCAGTGTGGAACAATTGCAGTGTTCCCATGAGCAGAGTGGTGAACACAGGACTTGGGTGAGTCTGAGCCAATCCCAAGGAGGGTCTGATCTAAGGACTCTGCAGCAATGGGGGTTCACATGAGGACCCAGAGTTCATTCTCTAGTAAGTGCCTGGGTGAGATGGCTTAGCAGAGCGATGTGCATGCTGCCAAGCCTGGGACTTAACCTTGATCAGTAGGACCCACATGGCTGAAAGAGAACCAGCTCCTACAAATAGCCTGTTGACTTCCACACATGGACATCCATGAGCATACACACATATACACACACACACACTCTCACATTCACATACACACTCACACACACAATCACACACACTCACAATCACACACTCACACACACATACACAGAGTAAATAAAAAAGGTGAGCAATATTTTAAATTTCCTCTTTTCTGTGTGTATTGTGTGTATGTCTGTGAGCACACGCCCATGTGTGTGCACATGCTCTTGTGCACATGTATATGTTTGCATATGTGCAGGCATACATGTATGGATGCCTGTGCATATGTGTCTGTGTGGAGGTCTAAAGTTGGGATGGGTGTTTCCTTGATCGCTTTCCATCTTACTTACTGAAGCAGCATCTCCGGCTGAACCTGGAACTTGCCAGTTGGCTAGGGCAGCCAGTCAACT